TGTCCAAACCACTGTCCCCCCTCTGGACATGTCCAAACCACTGTCCCTCCTCTGGACACGTCGAAACCACTCTCCCTCCTCTGGACATGTCCAAACCATCTTAGTGTGTCCTCTCTAACTTTATCTCCCAGTTGTTCAACCTGTGCTGTACCTCTGGTGATCTCATTCCTGATCTTCTCCATCCTTGTGACTCCTTAGGAGAACCTCAACATCTTTATTTCTGCCACTTCCAGTTCTGTCTCCTGTCTTTTTGTCCATGTCTCTGTCTCCAGACCATACAACATAGCTGGTCTCACTACTGTCTTGTAAACTTTTCCTTAGACCTTTGCTGACAACTTTTTGTTGCAAATCACCCCTGAAACTTTTCTCCATCACTCCATCCTGCCTGGACTCTTCTTCACCTCTTTACCACACTCCCCATTTTCCTGGACAGTGGACCCCAAGTCCTTGAAGTCCTGCACCTTTGTGACCTCTGCTCCTTGTAGCCTCACTGTTCCACCTCCTCCCTCTCATTCACACACATGGACTCTGTCTTACTACGGCTGACTTTCATTCCTCTTCTTTCAAGTGCATACCTCCACCTCTCCAAGTTCTTCCACCTGTTCTCTCCACAGATCACAATGTCATCTGCAAACATCATCGTCCATGGGGATTCCTGCCTGACCTCATCTGTTAGTCGGTCCATCACCAGAGCAAACAAGAAGGGGCTCAGAGCCGATCCTTGATGCACTCCCACCTCCACCTTGAAGCTATCTGTCACTCCTACAGAACATCTCACCACTGTCCTGCTGTCCTCATACATGTCCTGATGTCCTCATACATGCCCTGCTGTCCTCATACATGTCCTGCTGTCCTCATACATGCCCTGCTGTCCTCATACATGTCCTGCTGTCCTCATACATGCCCTGCTGTGCTCATACATGCCCTGCTGTGCTCATACATGCCCTGCTGTGCTCATACATGTCCTGCTGTCCGCATACATGTCCTGCTGTCCTCATACATGTCCTGCTGTCTGCATACATGTCCTGCTGTCCTCATACATGTCCTGCTGTCCTCATACATGTCCTGTATCAGTCTAACATACTTCTCTGTCACTCCAGATTTCCTCATGCAATACCACACCTCCTCCCTCAGTACTATGTCAGATGCATTTTCTAAATCCACAAAGACACAATGGAGTTCTTTCTGACCCTCTCTGTACTTCTCCATCATCATCCTCAAAGCAAAGATGGATCTGTGGAGCTCTTTCTCAGCATGAAACCATACTGCTGCTCACAGATAGTCACCTCTTGTCTAAGTCTTGCTTCCACAACTTTCTCCCAGATCTTCATCGTGTGACTCATCAACTTAATTCCCCTGTAGTTGCTACAACTCTGTACATCACTCTTATTCTTAAAAATGGGCACCAGCACATTTCTTCTCCATTCCTCAGGTATTTTCTCACACTCATATATGCCATTGAATATTTGAGTCAAGTCTAGTACACGTTCTAATACAAGTTTTAAAATTATTTTTGTGTGACATCTTTCTGTGTACGATAAATAGTGAGGAAAATAAGTATTTGAACACCCTGTGACTTTGCAAGTTCTCCCACTTAGAAATTATGGAGGGGTCTGAAATTGTCAACTTAGGTGCATGTCCACTGTGACAGACATAATCTAAAAAAAAATTTTTTTAAAAATCCAGAAATCACAATGTATGATTTTTTAATAAATTACTTGTGTGTTACTGCTGCAAATAAGTATTTGAACACCTGCCAATCAGCAACAGTTCTGGCACTCAAAGACCTGTTAGTCCTCCTCTATAACGTCCACCTCCACTCCACTTATTATTCTAAATTAGAAGCACCTGTTTGAGGTCGGTAGCTGCATAAAGACACCTGTCCACCCCACACAATCAGTAATACTCCAACTACTAACATGGCTAAGACCAAAGAGCTGTCCAAAGACACCAGAGACAAAATTGTAGACCTCCACAAGGCTGGAAAGATCTACGGGGCAACCGCCAAGCAGCTTGGTGAAAAAAGATAAACTGTTGGAGCAACTATTAGAAAATGGAAGAAGCTAAACATGACTGTCAATCTACCTTGGACTGGGGCTCCATGCAAGATCTCACCTCGTGGCGTATCAGTGATCCTAAGAAAGGTGAGGAATCAGCCCAGAACTACACGGAGGAGCTGGTCAATGACCTGAAGAGAGCTGGCACCACTGTTTCCATGGTTACTGTGGGTAATACACTAAGACGTCATAGTTTAAAATCACGCATGGCACGGAAGGTTCCCCTGCTTAAATCAGCACACGTCCAGGCCCGTCTTAAGTTTGCCCATGACCATTTGGATGATCCAGAGGAGTCATGGGAGAAAGTTCTGTGGGCAGATGAGACCAAAATAAAACTTTTTGGTCTTAATTCCACTCGCAGTGTTTGGAGGACGAAGAATGATGAGTACCATCCCAAAACACCATCCCTACTGTGAAGCATGGGGGTGGAAGCATCATGCTTTGAGGGCGTTTCTCTGCAAATTGGACAGGACGACTGCACTGTATTAAGGAGAGGATGACCGGGGCCATGTAGTGAGAGATTCTGGGGAACAACCTCCTTCCCTCAGTTAGAGCATTGAAGATGAGTCATGGCTGGGTCTTCCAACATGACAATGACCCGAAGCACACAGCCAGGAGAACCAAGGAGTGGCTCCGTAAGAAGCATATCAAGGTTCTGGAGTGGCCTAGCCAGTCTCCAGACCTAAACCCTATAGAAAATATTTGGAGGGAGCTCAAACTCTGTTTCTCAGTGACAGCCCAGAAACCTGGCTGATCTAGAGAAGATTTGTGTGGAGGAATGGGCCAAAATCTCTGCTGCAGTGTGCAAACCTGCTGAAACACTACAGGAAACCTTTGACCTCTGTAACTGCAAACAAAGATACTGTACCAAATATTAACATTAATTTTCACAGGTGTTCAAATACTTGTTTTCAGCAGTAACACACAAATAAATTATTAAAAAATCAAACATTGTGATTTCCGGATTTTTTTTTTTTTTTAGATTATGCCTCTCACAGTGGACATGCACCCGAGATGAAAGATTCAGACCCCTCCATGATTTCAAAGTGGGAGAACGTGCAAAGTCGTAGGGTGTTCAAATACTTATTTTCCTCACTGTATTTCCTAACACATCAGAACCACATAAGATCCACTGAGATCACACTGCCCCCTCATACACTGACAGGTTGAGCTCCCCTTCTGCGAAGGAGGAGTCTAGGATCCTATAAATGAGTAATGACACGGGACATCGGGGCTCTTCCGGGTCTGTGAATGCGTCACAGACCAGAGAGTCCAGCGCTGTAAATTGTAACCTTTTCCTGCCTTTTTTAATTATAATTGATAAAACTTAATTGGCGTTTCCTTGATTTATTGATAATGAGAGTTGCCACTTCTGAGGAAGATTCGAGCCGGGGGGAAAGACGTGGGCTGGAGGTGGTTTCCGGGTCCGGTGGCCAGCTCCCGTCTTTAACTTTCTTATCTATACTGGTCCTATGGTTTTGATCTGCTCAGAGAAGGGATTATAATGAAATTATTATGAAATTATAACCCAGTTCTGACCAGATCAAAACCATAGGACCAGTCTAGATAAGAAATATCCAACAGTACAATAGCCTTTGTTTGCAGTTACAGAAGTCAAAGGTTTCCTGTTGTTTGTCAGCAGATTTGCACACACTGCAGCAGGATTATGGTCCACTTCTCCACACAGATCTTCTCTAGATCAGCCAGGTTTCTGGACTGTCGCTGAGAAACACGGAGTTTGATCTCCCTCCAAAGATTTTCTATAGGGTTTAGGTCTGGAGACTGGATAGGCCACTCCAGAACCTTGATATGCTTCTTATGGAGCCACTCCTTGGTTCTCCTGGCTGTGTGCTTCGGGTCACTGTCATGTTGGAAGACCCAGCCACGACCCATCTTCAATGCTCTGAGGGAAGGAGGTTGTTCCCTAAAATCTCTCAGTACATGGCCCCGGTCATCCTCTCCTTAATACAGTGCAGTCGTCCTGTCCCATGTGCAGAAAAATACCCCAAGGCATGATGCTTCCACCCCCATGCTTCACAGTAGGGATGGTGTTTTTGGGATGGTACTCACCATTCTTCATCCTCCAAACATTGCGAGTGGAATTAAGAGCAAAAAGTTCTATTTTGGTCTCATCTGACCACAGAACTTTCTCCCATGTCTCCTCTGGATTCCTCACCTTTCTTAGGATCATTGATACGCCACGAGGTGAGATCTTGCATGGAGCCCCAGTCCGAGGGAGATTGACAGTCATGTTTAGCTTCTTCCATTTTCTAATAATTGCCCAAACAGTTTATCTTTTTTTCACCAAGCTGCTTGGCAATTGCCCCGTAGCCCTTTTCAGCCTTGTGTAGGTCTACAATTTTGTCTCTGGTGTCTTTGGACAGCTCTTTGGTCTTAGCCATGTTAGTAGTTGGAGTCTTACTGATTGTGTGGGGTGGACAGATGACTTTATGCAGCTAACGACCTCAAACAGGTGCTTCTAATTTAGAATAATAAGTGGAGGTGGACTTTTTAGAAGCGGACTAACAGGTCTTTGAGAACCAGAATTGTTGCTGATTGGCAGGTGTTCAAATAATTATTTTAGCAGTAACACACAAATACATTTTAAAAAATCATTCATTGTGATTTCCGGATTTCTTTTTTTTTAGATTATGTCTCTCACAGTGGACGTGCACCTAAGATGAAAATTTCAGACCTCTCCATGATTTCTAAGTGAGAGAAATTGCAAAGTCGCAGGGTGTTCAAATGCTTATTTTCCTCACTGTAAATAAACTGAATTGAACCGAATTGAATTTGAATGATTCTCTTCATGTTTTCCTTCTCTGGGGCCCTGCAGCTTATCCAGACTGCCCTTTAGTTTATAGTTTAAACCAAGTTTCGTTAACAAACCTATTCTGAAACCTGAGAAAAATCCAAACCTGGCTCAGCTTTGTTCCTCTTCTTCCCTTCCAGCATCTCTTCCTCATCATCATCCCTACGAATGGCTCTTTTCATCCTCTTCCTGCTGCAGAACATGTCATCGTCCTCGTCTGTGGACACCTCCTCCTCCTCGTCCTGAGGAAAGATCCCTGACAGGAGAAGACAAAGGAAAGCCTGTCATCTGAGATAAAGTCAGAAATAAAGAACACAAACTATTCTACTTTAGAGAAGCAGCTTTTTGTCTTACCTTGACTGAGGTCACGCAGCCTGAAAACCAACAGAAAAGCATCAGTCATGAGTTTGGACAAGTGGTTATGTCACAGTCAGACATATCCTTTATTCTTTAATGTTTTTCAGTCTCATAAACACAGATGGCAAACAATTACGCCTGTATGCTTCATGAGGTTTGCGTGAAGCATGAATTAACCTAGCGATGAAAAAGTACTGAAAAGAAAGAAAAACTGTTTTGCAAAGATTTAGTGATGAATTAAATAAATGACCCAGTTATCCATCTTTAATCCATATCACTACAGTCAGCACATTCATTTGATTCCATCATCAATTACTCAGGACTGTGGACTAGGGATGCACGATCCACTTTTTTCACTTCTGATATCGATATCTGATGTTTAGTTTCGGTCGATACTGATCCAATGCCTATCCGATACAGAAAAACAGCGCTGAATTAACTTAAAGCATTTGTTTTATTTTAACGCAGACATAAATGTACCGAATTACAAATTTATTGAAAACTTTGCACCAGCACAGCACATTTAAACACACCATTAGCTTAACAATCTTGGTCAAACATGCAACAACACAACTTTAATTTGTTCAGTCAGTGCAGTTATGAGTATAACATACAACGTAAAATAAATAATAATAAAGATACTGAAACTGACAAAAACAATAGGTTGACAACTTTGGTCAAATATGAAAAAAATAACTAACAAACCTTTCAAATGGTTCAGGAATTCTAAATATAATGTTAAAAAATAATAAAGGAGCTTAAAAAAAGAGGGAAAAAAACAACAGCTTTCACTAGCTTGGTTGGCAGATATTTAAAAATCAGCAATCAGCTCCCGTCCTTATGGATTGGTCACACTGTCACCGATACCCCATCAAGAATTTTTTTTGATATTGGTACTAGGGGTGCAGAAAAAAAAACTGATGTATTAAAGAATCTAGATTCTTAGTTCTGGCGATTCTGAATTGATTCTAAACACCCAGATCTTAAAATGTGTTTAAGTTTTATTTTTTCCACTCCTACTCCCGAGCGTACTGCGCATCTCATTACGTGTCCGTTCGGTTGCCGTAGAATTTGGTCATGTAGGCCACCGTACAGCAAGCTAGTTAGCCAACTCCTTTTATCTGAATGGAGTCTGTTAGCATGTAGCAGGAGGACAGCGCGATTCAACCCGCTCCTTCTTAAAAAATCATTTCAGATCCTACAATGTTCCAGGGGAAGACAGAGCTTAACAAGAGCACTGTTGTTTGCAAGAAGTGTAAAATAAAATTGTGGGACAGTATTTTGAAAAATAGATTTTCATTAGAATCGTGACACCAAAATCGGAATCGAAACGGATCGCCAGACACTCAGAGATTTGCACCCGTAATCAGTACCGATAGTAATATTGGGATTGATGCAGCTCTACTGTGGACACCAAGCCGCTGGAATATTATAAATGTTTTTTTTCTCAGGGTGTGTACCACAGATGCGTCAAGGATTGGCCCATTTGAGTTTCCAGGTGTGTCATGAGGTGTCAGTGGGTCTTGATGAGAATGGATCATGAGTGTCTCCTGTACAGCCAGGTCAATAAGACAGCAGAGTTATTTGTAGAGGGGAATATGCTGTATCTGGTATTTTTACTCAACATGCTCCGTTATCGATGAGCTGGGAGGATGCTCCAGATAATAGGAAATGCTTATTGTGGAAGGCTTACTCACCAACACTAAAAGTAAACAGAATACTAAGAAATAAACTAATATTATCCTGTTTTCTATTCAGGCTACACACTAGTGAACTGAAGGTCCCACAATTTGTGAGAAACTGGTGTCTGTGCCAGCTTGGATTTTTCTTCTTAAAATAAAATAAAACAAGTAAAAATTAATTCCTGAGTGTGTGTATAATAATAATAATAATAATAATAATAATAATAATAATAATAATAATAATAATAAATACATTTTATTTGAAGGCGCCTTTCAAAACAGTCAAGGTCACCGAACAAGAAATACAAGATAAAAACAATAAAACAATATCAATAAAATCAAATGCTAATAATGATAAAATGCATAATGACATTAAACAGAATAAGCAAGTTTGAAAAAGTGAGTTTTAAGGTTGGATTTAAATGAGAGCAGAGAATCAGAATTACATATGTGCTGTGGAAGAGAGATCCAGAGACGAGGGGCTATGCGGGAGAAGGCTCTAGATCCCGTGGTTGTTAAGCGGGCAGGAGGTGTAACAAGAGAGATGGATAGGGAGGAGCGAAAACTTCAGGCAGGTATGTAATAGCAAAGAAGATCAGTGAGGTACAGAGGTGCCAAGTTATGGAGAGCTTTGAAAGTGAGGAGAAGAATCTTAAAGTCGATGCAATATTTTATGGGTAACCAGTGAAGATGTTTAAGGATAGGGGTGATGTGTTCCTTCGACGTAGTTCTAGTGATGATCTGGGCAGCTGTGTTTTGAACAAGCTGAAGTTTATGGATGAATCTGAGAGGAAGAGCTGAGAGGAGGGAGTTACAGTAGTCTAGTCGAGAGGTGACTAGAGCATTGATAAGGATAGCTGTGCTGGTGGGGGTAAGAAATGAACGGAGACGGTTCATGTTTCGAAGATGAAAATATGCAGGCCGAGTAATGTTATTGACATGAGATTCAAAAGATAATGTGCTATTAAGGATGACACCCAGACTCTTAGCTGTAGAGGAGGGAGAAACTGTGGAATCATCAACTTTAATTGTGAAACTATTTGGATAAGGTAGACTTGGTGCCAACAAGGAGGAATTCTGTTTTATTTGAGTTCAGTTTAATAAAGTTCAGATTAAACCATAATTTGATTTCACAGAGGCAGTCTGAAAGGAAGGATGGTGGAAGGGTGGTGTTGGGCTTGGTGGAGAGGTAGAGAGATCCGCATTGCAGTGAAAATTATTAGCAATTTTTTTTAAAGATAAGGCTAAGTGGAAGAAGATAAATGATAAAAGGAGAGGACCAAGAACAGAACCCTGCGGTACACCTGAAGTAACTGTGAAGGACTGTGATTTGAAGTTCTTGAGTTGGACAAAGTGCTGACGGTCAGAGAGATAAGATTGAAACCAATTTATAGCAATGCCAGAAAAACCAATGGAACGTAATCTATCGAGAAGAATATCATGTGAAATGTCATCAAATGCTGCACTCAGGTCAAGGAGAATGAGAATTGATAAAAGTCCAGAGTCGGCAGCAACCAGGAGATCATTGGTGATTTTAATCAAAGCTGTCTCAGTGCTGTGGAGGGGGCGGAAACCTGACTGAAGTTCCTCAAACAGATTATTATCAGAAAGATGACTGTGAACGTGGACTGCAACTGTTTTTTCAAGTATTTTGGAAATGAAGGTCAGAAATTGGTCTGAAGTTATTTAAGTCATTTGGATCACCACCTGGCTTTTTAAGAATTTGAGTTATTGCAGCGATGGACTTGCGACCCGTCCAGGGTGTACCCCGCCCCTCGCACAGTGATTGCTGGACATGGGCACCAGCGACCCTCGTGACCCAAAATGGAATTAACGGGTAAAGATAATGGATGGATGGATGGAGTTATTGCAGCAGTTTTGGGTGATGGTGGGACAAAAGCAGAAGAGAGAGATAAATAAATAATCTCAGTTATTAGCGTACAAACCGGATTCCAAAAAAGTTTGGACACTAAGCAAATTGTGAATAAAAACTGAATGCAATGATGTGGAGATGGCAAATGTCAATATTTTATTTGTAATATAACACAGATGACAGATCAAAAGTTTAATCTGAGTAAATGTAACATTTTAAAGGAAAAATATGTTGATTCAAAATTTCACAGTGTCAACAAATCCCCAAAAAGTTGGGATAAGTAGCAGTAAGTGGCTGGCAAAAGGAAATTCAGCTTATAACAATTCTTGAATGAAAGAAACCAGGATGATGAGCTATGACAACACTTAATTTCCCTCTGGGATTAATAAAGTATTTTTGAATTGAATTTGAATTTAATTGAATAATGAACAGCTGTAAGACCAATTAACACTAATTAGGTCAATTGACAACATGATTGGGTATAAAAAGAGCTTCTCAGAGTGTCAGTGTCTCTCAGAAGCCAAGATTGTGAGAGGATCACCAATTCCACCATTGTTGCGCAGAAAGATAGTGCAGCAATACCAGAATGGTGTTACCCAGCGTAAAATAGCAAAGACTTTTAAGTTATCATCATCAACCGTGCATAACTTCATCAAAAGATTCAGAGAATCTGGAACAATCGCTGTGCGTAAGGGTCAAGGCCGTAAAACTCTACTGGATGCTCGTGATCTCCGGGCCCTTAAACGTCACTGCACCTCAAACAGGAATGCCACTGTCAAGGAAATAACAGAATGGGCTCAGGAATACTTCCAGAAAGCATTGTCAGTGAACACAATCCACCGTGCCATCCGCCGTTGCCAGCTGAAACTCTACAGTGCAAAGAGGAAGCTATTTCTAAGCAAGCTCCACAAGCACAGACGTTTGCACTGGGCCAGGGGTCATTTAAAATGGAGTGTGGCAAAATGGAAGACTGTTCTGTGGTCAGATGAGTCACGATTTGAAGTTCTTTATGGAACACTGGGACGCCATGTCATCCGGACCAGAGAGGACAAGGATAGTCCAAGTTGTTATCAACGCTCCGTTCAGAAGCCTGCATCACTGATGGTATGGAGTTGCATGAGCGCTTGTGGCATGGGCAGCTTGCATGTCTGAAAAGGCACCATTAATGCAGAGAACTATGTTCAGGTTCTAGAACAACATGTGCTCCCATCTAGACGTCATCTCTTTCAGGGAAGACCCTGCATTTTTCAACACGATAATGCCAGACCACATTCTGCAGCAATCACAGCATCATGGCTACGTAGGAGAAGGATCCGGGTACTGAAATGGCCAGCCTGCAGTCCAGATCTTTCACCTATAGAGAACATTTGGCGCATCATAAAGAGGAAGGTGCGACAAAGAAGGCCCAAGACGATTGAACAGTTAGAGGCCTGTATTAGACATGAATGGGAGAGCATTCCTATTTCTAAACTGGAGAAACTGGTCTCCTCTGTCCCCAGACGTCTGTTGAGTGTTGGAAGAAGAAGGGGGGATGCCACACAGTGGTAAAAATGGACTTGTTTTAACTTTTTTGGGATTTGTTGACACAATGAAATTTGGAAACAACAGATTTTTCCCTTAAAATGATACATTCTCTCAGTTTAAACTTTTGATCTGTGATTTGTGTTCTATTCTGAATAAAATATTAGATGTTGGCACCTCCATATCATTGCATTCAGTTTTTATTCACAATTTGTTTAGTGTCCCAACTTTTTTGGAATCCGGTTTGTACACAAGTTTCACTTTTTGAACGGAATTACTGAAATAAATCAACTTTTTCATGATATTCTAATTTTATGACCAGCACCTGTATATAGCGCCAAATCACAGCAGAAGTCATCTTCAAGTTCTATGCACGCTTTGAAGACCCGAACAGACCACCCAGCACCAGACTCACCTCGCCACCGGATGAAGAGCATCTCAGCGTGACCTCAGCAGAAGTAAGGAGTACCTTCAGGAGGATTAATCCGCACAAAGCAACTGGCCCAGACAACATCCCCGGAAAAGTGTTGAAGGAATGTGCTGATCAGCTCTGTGAGGTGCTGGCAGACATTAACACCTCACTTACCCTGGAGACAGTTCCCACCTGCCTGAAGACTGCCACCATCATCCCAGTCCCAAAAAGCTCTACAGTGACTGGTCTGAATGACTATCGGCCAGTGGCCCTCACCCCGATAGTCGCTAAATGCTTCGAAAAACTGGTCATGACTCACATCAAAACAACCATCAACATCAACGAGGACCCTCATCAGTATGCATACCGTGAGAACCGATCAACAGAGGATGCAATCTCCTCTGTGGTCCACACTGCGCTCAACCACCTGGAGCAGAAAAACTCTTACGTCCGTATGCTCTTTGTGGACTTCACATCCGCCTTCAACTCCATGATCCCCCAAACCCTGATGGACAAACTATCCACACTAGGACTAAGCCCCTCCATCTGCAACTGGGTACTAGACTTTTTAACAAACAGACCACAGTTAGTGAGGATCCACAACCTCTCCTCCTCCACCATAACCCTCAGCACTGGCTCTCCTCAGGGATGTGTGTTGAGCCCCCTTCTGTTTACTCTGCTCACATATGATTGTGTAGCTACCCATCCAGGCCGTCACATTGTAAAGTTTGCAGATGATACAGCGGTGGTGGGATGCATCACAAACAATGATGAGTCCAGCTACACGCAAGAGGTGGAACACCTGGAGAGCTGGTGCAGAGAGAATAACCTTCACATCAATGTGAAGAAGACAAAGGAGATGATTGTGGACTTCAGAAGGAACAAAAACACCTACACCCCCCTGAACATAAGAGGATCTGCGGTGGAAGTGGTCTCCAGCTACAAGTACTTGGGTGTACACATGAATGACAACCTCAGCTGGAGCAACAACACCACCAGCCTGATCAAGAAAGCTCATCAGAGACTCTACTTCCTCAGACGGCTGAGGCGAGCTGGTCTGGGAAGCTCAGTCCTCACCTCCTTCTACAGGT